ATTTAGGATATAATCTGGGAACAGTAAATTATGTTATTTATGCTCAGCTTCCCTATCTGCAAAGCCAGGATACTAACACTGCTAAAACCTGTCAGAGTTCCTCCAATTCATGTTAACAAGGACCTGAAAAGTCAACCATCTGTCAGGAATCAAAAATTTACAACTAATTATGACTTCAGTAATACCATCAACAGCACATAAGTGCTACAAGTAGGTCACACAGATAATAGCCAATGTGTCACAAACTCTCAAAGACTATATGCAGTATAATTCTATTTAAGTTAAAAAAGGATTGAGCAGAGAAGCAGATCAAGGCTACACAGTAATGCAGCAATTATAGGCACAAGACCAGCAGTGACAAATCAGGAGCCCACAAGCAGAGCAAGACTGGAGACAGTAAGAGCTTAAGTAAGAGTATAGTAATTGATTGCTGTAATTTCTTCTACATGTTAACTCCAGGATGCAATCAAGAAAAAAGGAAAGAAAAAAAACTTATCTTTGATATAGAGATGCAGCAATTCATAGAAGCATAACCAGAAGGGATTGTTGTAGTCTGAGGATAATAGGAACTAAATTAATATATCTTTCATGTTAAATGTTCTTGCTGCAGATTTATAAGCTTTCGTAAAAAGCTCTAAGCATTGTCTTAAAACATAACAGTGATTAATATGTGATCCAGAAAGCATAAAAATCTAAGCATGTGTTTATCACTTTGTAAGCACATTAGCTGTTTTAGTGACATTGTTCATATGTTAATGTTATGATGGTAATGCATGAGCATCACTTCATGGTCATAACAGGTGATGCATTGAAATAACCGTATACTGCTCCTTCATTATTCTTTCTCCAGTACTCACAAAATCTTTATATCTGGAAAAACCTTTCCAAATTTTCTTCTGCAAAATAATAAATATTTAAGAATCTATTTTTGTCTGCATTCTCTTTTTCACTGATGAAAAATAAAATGTAAAATCTTTTGTAGTGTATGTATAATGAAAAAAAAATAAAGACATTGGGCATTAGTTGGATTTTTTCCCTACAAAAATATATACTTTTTCAATGCAGAAGTTTTAATATTAAAAAGATTTTACCATGAAAAAGGTAATTTCTTTTGGAAACTTCTTTCAAAACAAATTTACTGTAGAGTAATTGTTAGGTAGAAATTAGTTGCTAGATTATGTTGGTTTTTGGCCCAGCCAGCCTACATGTGGGAAAACTTAGGATAAATGAATTGAAAATTCAGAATTATTTTCAGGGTCCTTCCTTCTTTGTCAATCTAATAAATACAGAACAGTTTTTAAAAACAGACCTCATCCTTGTATTTTCCATCTGTCTGGAGCTGCTGCCTCCAGCCGGCTGCAGTTGAAGTGTAATTCTGCATGATATTTTATCACAGATGAACCTCAAAGAAGTTAGGAATTTGGTTCATATAAATTCAGATGCACTGCTGAAAATTCTGATCCAAAACCCAGGTTGATACTGCATTTCCTTCAGGAGCTTTACAGCATATCCTGGATTTAAATGGCTTATATGTTTCTGCCAATGTATTTCCCACAATCCTTGCAGAGACATGCATTCTTTGTCCCCACACAGCTCAGGTGCGGTGTTTAGAGGCTATACACAAAGTCTGAAGTGCACCTGTTGGACCTCAATACAAAAGATTGTGCCCTCCTAGAAGGCAGAAATGCACTTTTAATGAGCTCTGACTCCAAATAGAATATGACCAAAAAAAAATTTCCACTGTAATTATTCAAAATTGTCAGGTTGTAAAAGGATGAAAAGTTTACTCTTTAGAATAAGCAATGAGGCCACTTTTGAGGTTAAGACTTCTGGGAATTTTGGAAAGTGATTCAGCTTCCAAAATCATTGATACCTTCCTTTCTTTGAACTAAGCATTTGCTAAATAGTACAGGAGAGTTATTGTCCACTGGGGAGCATGTTAAGATTGCCTAATTAATCTCCCCAGTAACCTAAACTAGATCTGGGTCCTTAGAGACACAAGGAAAGCAAAGTCAAACAATGTGATCACTCTCTTTCTTTGTCTCTCTGTATCCTTTTTTAGAGAAATTATTTAAATTATGAGAGACTATTTTAGGTCACTGATGGAAAGCTAAATTGGTTCTTCACGCTTAAGACTCCTTCTGTTAATCCCCTTTACAAAGCGTATTTTTAGCATGCCTCAAAAAAAAAAAAGCTTCTAATTGCAAATGTTCTGCACTCTGAATTTGGTACAGATTTTGCTGTTACATGCTGGTCGACTAAAGCTAGAAGCTTGGTAATTTTGTAAAAGAAAATGTGTTAAACTTTTTAACCTTCCAGCTGTCCTTTTTTTGTTGAGCGTAAAAATTTTTCATAAACAAACATAAAGTTTCCTTTCATCTGGAATAGAATACTGGTATTTCACTGGAAACTAAATCAAGGTTTGTTGTGGGATATTTTTATTGCTAGTGTGATACACTGATCTGTATGAAATACAGAAAAACAAAATTCAGTTAAGACTCTAACATGTTTGTAGCTCAAAATCCATCATGTTTATGCTAAGGCTAGATAATACATAAAAAAAAATAAAAAGAAAAGAAGACTTTCTTGGATATTTGAAATTCTGCATAGCTGTTTCCATAGGCCCCTGTATTGTCCCAGGCAGTTCTACCATCTGGCTGATTTGCCCAGATCAGGAGCAGGGGCACATTATATTTGCTTTGTATGAAGAGTGGCATCCCCAGAAAGTGATGCAGATAGAGAGTTGCCTAAGAAGAAGACCAGTTTATACAGTGCACGCTTGCCTGCGTGTGCAATTGCAATTTAATTTTACATTAACGCAGAAAGAGATGAAATAGTAAAATTGTGTAATAAAAACTTATTTTGGAAAAATCTCTTGTCTGAACATCCAAGAGGCAATCCAGATGGACAAAGGAGTCCAGGAAATCTAGTCATGCTTCCAAAAGGAAATCTAAAAGGCTGTCCCCACTTACTGAAAGATGAGCTGTCAGAGAAGAAGACCAGCCAGGCTGAACAGAGTAATTTGACTAGAACTCAGAAGAAAAAGGAGAAGAGAGAAGCCAGGAGGACTACATAGATCTGTGAGCTATGCAAGGAGAAAACTGCTGCTAAAAAAAATATTATAAATATATCAGCAACAAAAGAAAGGCAAAGGAGAATGTCCACCCTTTAATGGAAGTGTAGGGAAAAGTAGTAATGAAGGATGAGCAAAAGGCTGATGTACTTAATGCTTTCATTGCCTCAGCCTTTCACAGCAAGACCGGCTGTCCTCAGGACATCCAGTCTCCTGAGCCAGAAGACAGGAACACGGAGCAAAATGAGGAACCAATATCCAAGGGCAAATGGTCATTGACCTGCTACACCACTCAGACATGCACAGATCTGTAGGGCTGGATGGACTCCACCCAAGGGTACTGAAGGACCTGACAGAAGAGCTCACCAAGCCACTTTCTCTCATTTATCAGCACTCTTGGCTGACTGGGGAGGTCGCAGTAGCCTGGAGGCCAGCAAACGTGACACCCATCTGCAAGAAGGCCTGGAAGGAAGATGTGGCAGGCAACTGCAGGCCTGTCAGCCTGACCTGGGTGCCAGTGAAGGTTACGGAACACATCATCTTGAGTGCCATCAAAAGACACTTGCAGAACAGTCAGGCCATCAGGCCCTGCTGGCGCGGGTTTGGGAAAGACAGGTCCTGCTTGACCACCTTGAGCTTATTCTGTGGCAAAGTGATCCATTAGTGGATAAGGGATCTGGACACACTAGATCAATGGGTTGAGAAAAAGTGGGTACAGTACAGAAAAGGCCGAGCCTCAGGAGTGTATTGAGAGAGTTGTTATGCTTTGTTGGTCTGAGTTTTATTTGGGGTTGGAAATAGCTAAACATCTGGAAACAGCAACTATTAAAAATAATTAATCAGGCCAGCTTTATCCTATCAATCATACTAATATGCAACAACAACAATTCATTTTTACAAAGCTCTGAGATCTGATTTTAAATATGTTAAAACAGAAATTAGTCTCAAGTTTCCCTCCAACAAATGGAGTAATTTGAGTTACAACTCTAATATTGGAATCAATAACAAAATCATGTTTCATTAATAATGTGTCAGGGAGTTACCTGAGCCACCCTTTCCCATGAAAAGAGAAGACCCCCCCTTGAAATCTCACAAATTTCCAGATAAAGTTGTGCTGCTACAAATTTATGAAAGAATTAATGTATACATTATCACTGCAGGTTAAAGCTTTTTTATGGATCTCTATGAGCCTAAAATCCAAGGATTTTCAACCACAAAAAAAAAAATTCTCAACCTCCCATAAAAGGGTCATAGTGCCAGGGGTCATGGACTAGCTGCTCAATGGGAATGAGGAAAAGACTCAAATCATACCATGCTAGGAAAAAATGTACAGAAAAAAAATGTACCACAATTCACTAAGGACAAGAGCACGTCCTCTGCAGAACACATAGCACAAGTTTTCGTAACAGTTCTGTAGTTCTATGAATCTTGTGTCTCACAAAATATGTACATCAACCATAATGAGTGTAGAGTGAACAGAAACAGCTGTGTTTGACAGGAATGGCTGTCTATGAAAAAATGTTAGGAAACTGAAATTGTTTAGCCTAGAAGAGGTCTGATAAGTTCTTGAATTCATGCATTAAGGAACTGTAGTTCTTTGAGCACTCTCCTCCAAAGCAACAGAGAAAAGTGTCATTTTTCTATGTTTATATGAGTATGGTGAGTTAAAGTGCAAGATGTTCTGATATTATGAAGACAGTTTATAGCAGTGCACACAATGAAGCAGTGGAATAAGCTCACTGTAGGGAGAGTATCCCTCACTGCATAAAAGCTTGGAAAAAAGTTTTCAGTGAGGAAAAGCTTAAGATACATACCATGATGATATAGGCATGCATTTAGGAAAATGATGAATGATGGAGTTAGTAAGTTACCAGTAAACCTGAAGTTGAAAGTCTGCAAAGTCAACGAAAATATCACTGAAACTTACCAGTCATCAGAGTTTTTCTCAGGCCATCTCCAGATATTTTGTGAAGAGGATAGCTGACTGCTTCTAAATTGTCACTGATGTATTTCTAGACAGAAATTTCTATGATTTAGAATTTATTTAGGAAGAGTACAATTATTTAAGGTTGTATTTAACACAAAAGTAAATATAATTAAATTGGTGAGAAACTGATCAACACAAACTGAAGGATGAATCATACTGCATACAACATCAAACTGAAGGCTACAGATATCTGTGGCTGTAAATGCAGCAGATACTGTATTACAATTCACAATTATGAAAGCCATGGCAGAAAACAGTGAGGAGTCTGCTTATTCACAGATCCTGCACAACTCTCTGTATGACCTGACCTCTGATATCCTCTTCTTTAGTTTAACAACTTCCCTTTTTAAATCTATTTTCCTGCTTAATGCAAGAATGCCTTAGTGGGCTTGCTGGCTTGCTATATTAAGATTATTAATTTAAGTAAATCAGAGTGTACAGAGTCCTGCAGCTGGCTTCCTCAGAAACCCGACCTACTTAAGACTCATCAGTTGTAAAGAGGGAATAATAAATGTGGAATGAAATGAAGAGGCATCTAGATCAAATGTCTGATTTATTGGGCATGAATGTCATATGTCTCTGTTTCTAAAATAATGCAACACTAGCACAGCAGCTTTAATGCCACTGATGGGATATAAAGCTCCATATATAAATATTATTTACCTGATAATATTTGCATCTATGCCTTCTCCATCCCTATTCAATCACTGATACTGCAAACTGGATTGCTAATTAAAGGCCTTAATCAAGAAATCAGGGGACTATCTTTCTTCATTGGTGTTCTTCTCTATTTCACAAAAATATACACATAAAAGATCCTCTGATATATAATTTTGTCTGAAGAAACAGAAAACACTACTTTAAGGGAGTCTTGTACATTTCTAGGTCTACAGTAGATGGACCTGGCTCACTTTATTTTGATTTTCTTTTTTTATTAGATAAATTGAGCTCTCAGGAGCCACTTGTTTTCTCTCATTCTCAATTTAAATTGTCCATCCACATTTTGTCTTACTAAAAGGAGAGACAGCTACCAAGAATATAATTTATAATGTTGTCTTTGGCTGAACCAAGGAAGATTACTTGGTACAGCTGGTGATCCATCTGTACAATTAGTCATACAATATGAAATAAGTGATTAACATTTTAGGGAGAACAATGTTTTTAAGTCTTACACCAGGATTGTTCTATGTGGAATGCACTCACCATCAGATGAAAAAGATCAAAGATGACAAAGGAAAAGGTATGTATGTTTTTCCTATATTCAGAATCTTCCTATGAGTGAAAAAGAAACATACCTCATATATAAAGGAAGAACATATTGCTAGTGTATTTGCAATTTTGGCAGTCCAATGAAATTATTAGTATGGATGGTAATAGCAGTATTGCAGGTCTAGTTATTGCAGGAAGTGAATATAGACAGTTGTGTTGGCTTTGCACAGCCTGGTTTTTGGTAGCAGGAGTCACAGAGGTGACTTCTGTGAGAAGCTGTTAGAAGCTTCCACCTTGTCCTGCAGAGTTGATCCCTGATGGGTCAATTAGAGATGTTGGTGATACCTCTGTGGTAGCATATTTAAGAAGAAAATCAAAACACAGTGGGGCACAGTTTTTTTCTAGTCAGAGAAGAGAAGGTGGTAAGAACATGTGAAGGAAACAACACGGAGACACCAAGGTCAGTGAAAAAGGAGGGGGAGGAGGTGCTTCAGGCCCTGGGGCCAAGATTCTTCTGGAGGCCATGGTGATTGATGATCATGGTGAAGCAGCTGTGCCCCCGCAGCCTGTGGGGATCTACAGGAGAGACAGAGACACTCACAGCCTGTGGGGGAGGTGCCCACACTTCCTGGGGAGGCTGTGATCCAGTGGGAGACCCGGTGGAGAGAGAGGACCCTTGTTTCCAGGCTGGAGCAGCCTGTCCTTGGACGACTACACCCTGTTGAAGAGTGACCCACACTGCAGCAGTTTTGGGAGGACTGCTGCTCATGAGAGTGGACCCACACTGCAGCAGTTTTGGGAGGACTGCCTCCTACAGGACAGGACCTCCCAAGGTAGCAAGGAAGGACTCCTCTCCCACAGCAGCAGAAGAACTCAGGTAATGAACTGACCAAAACCCCCATGCCCTGTCTCCCTGTGCTGCTGGTGAAAAGGAGGGAGGTGTCAGGGGAAGAAAAGGTGGTTTTAAATGCTTATTATTATTTAAAAGCTTCTTATTTTTGGAAACCTTCTCTGATTTTGTTAGTAAGTAACTCATTTTGTACCCTGAAGTTGGGCCTGTTTTGCCCTTGGAGTGTTTCCTCCAGGTCCTTATCTCAACTCATGAACCCCTCGTTTAAATTTTTCTCTCCTCTGCCCAGCTGTGGCAGGGGAGGGTGAGTGAGCAACTTTAGTGGGTGCCTGATATTTGGCCAGCATAAAACCATGGGAAAAAGAATTAACAATATCACTATTTATTAAAATTATTAAAATTTTCAATCATAGTTTCATATCCACATTTAGTGTTTTTCCTTTTATTTAATGCCACTAAAATTAATAATCTGAACATAGGAAAGACTTCCCTGTTGTCTGCTTGCAAAGTCAAGGGCACTGGTCTGAGCAGAGTGGAAAGTGCTGTTTTGGTCTGTCTGAGCAGGTGAAGGGTTCCTCAAGTTGACAGCATGTCAAGTCCTTTGCTGGGGATGCTGATGGCTTCTTATTCCTCAATACAGAGTCTACTTAGGGTTGCTTTGAAATGTTTGGCAGCATGGTCTTACCCCTTGCACTTCTTTTTTAGTTTGTAAGCTCACAGCACACACAAATTTCCAATTCGTTATGCATTTTATGTCTTTTAAATGCTTCCATTTTGTTCTGTTTAGTACCCTTGAAACTGATTTTGCTCAGCTCCAAGTCTGCATTTCTTTCACAGACTACTGGAGACTTGTTTATAGCCAAAAAGTTCATTATGTCAGCCTATGTCTCATTTCTTATAATTTCATCTTTGCCCTGCAGCTTGTATGTCTACCTTTCAAGTCTTCAGCTCTCATACCACATTTCTCTACATTGCATGGTTATGCTAAAATCAATATCTCTGTGGACCTCTACCTCTTTGGGTCTGCATTAAGATTTTTGTGGGATGGGAAATCAGAGTATTTTACCATTTCAGTATTACAGGATAAAGAAAATAGTGATTAATTTAAGTGAAAGGAATAATTGTTGCTAGTTTCTGCATTTACTGCAGAAAAATTTCTCTAGTTTCAGAAATAAACTAAATCTTGAGATAAATACAGCATATTCAGTAGTATTTCAGGAAATAGTTTTTGATCTGTTGTATGTCTTGCAGAGGTTAACAGAAAGTAAAATGGCTGACTAATTCTTTTGAACAAGTCTGTAATTGCAAATCCTGCAACTAAAAGAAATACTTATTTTACCATGATTTAGAAGCAAAGTAACAAAATTTTGCAAGGAAATCTACACAAACTGTCATTTTCAACAAACTTTGTGCAGTCCATTACTGCTAACAGCTTCCTCTGAGCTTTTCTGTATGCTGAATATATTCAAGAACATATATTATGTCATCCTTTATGCCAGAGGTAAAAAAGGTTGGATTTTTTTCTTCCCCTCCAGAACTATTGAAGAACCAACTGCACAGCCATTTTTTAACAAGAAATTTTTTGTTACAGAAGGAGAATCTTACTATGGTATCACCATTTATGTTCTAAAGCAACGAGAGAAATATATTCTATGCATCACCTTCATGTCACATCTATGAAGAAGGTGACTTTTGCACTGCATGTATTTTCTACCTGTAAAAACACACCAAACCTCAGGAAAAAAAATTTTAAAAACCTACCTTGACAAATCTGAACATATACACTCTATTGAAACACAAACTAATTCTTTATTGCAATAACACTGTCATTTATATTAGAATAATTGATTGACTTGGGCCCCCAGCAGTGCTGGGATTGGGCAGGATTCTGCTTTATATCAAAAAGGTTAGTCTCACTGTGTTTTAGGGATTTCTTGTAAGTCTAATATTTTCACATGCTTTCACAGTTACCTTCACACTTCTCCATCCAAATATACCCTCATGAATGTGTATTTCTATTTATAAATATTCCATTTCATGAAAGAAGGCTAGGTGGAGGCAAGTTTATAAATAGGGAAAGGCCATAGAGATTTTCTAGAGAGTCCAAGGAGGTAATCAGAGACCAATCAACTATAGGAATAGGACAACAATTGTAAATCGTATGTAAAGACAAATGAGAGAGCAATCAACTATAGGAATAGGACAACAATTGGAAACCTTGTGTAAAGACAGTAAAACAATTCATTTGTATGCTTACAATGGGAAAATGAAGAAAAATCTCATCTAATAAAAGACAGCAGAGAATCAAAAAAGAGCAAAACTCCTTGAAAACCATATCTTTCAAAATATATTAAAAATAGAACTTGGTTTTTGCCTCGGTGTTTGTCTGGGAACACTGACACACAAGTTATGCATGTAAAAGGTATTTGACTCTGGTATTTCAAATCTGATCATTTAGATGGCTTTTGCAGTAAATCTTGATGAAAACATGTATCCTTGAGGCAAATTCATCACTAATAACCATTGTAGCTCACAAAAGTAATTTCATGACATATTGTGTTGCATGCCTGACTAATCCCAGGGGATGAATATTCATGGTGGTTATGAGATAGATTCTTTTAAATTCTTGGAGTTCTGTGTTGGCATCAGGCATTATAGCAGCTTCACAGATCATTTTGTTCAGCTAGAAAGAATCTGCTGTTATGTCTTCAAAGTGAGGTGGTTTTATTTTTATCATAAGGGTCACCAATCCCTCTGTTGAAACCTAGCATTATTGCTCAGATAGAGACATATTTACCAAAGAAGTGCTAGAAATAGCAAAGGGTAACCGAACAAAACAGTCATACCACTTGAGTTCCTCTGAAAGCCTAAAATCCTCTGTTCTTCAGTGGTGTGGCACTGAGCAGTAGCATATTAACCAAGGGAGGATAATATAAAGT